TACAGCACAACTAACTAACTTAGTCTCCTTAACTTAACTTAGGTAAATTAACTTACTAGGAGTATTTTCCTTATATAGATTTACGTTTTTCTTATTTTGTACATAAAGTAATTAGCTGTCACAGCAACAACTACATTGTCTCTCAACTATTATATCTGCTTATATATATATATATATATATATAGTTTGGTATTACAGGAATGAGCAACTGGCTGACATCATCTCACCTCGATATCACATTGTGCACAAATATTTCCCCCCAGCTGATATCAGTTCTTTGTATCAAACACTTATAAAGCTTTGATCGTGCTGTGCGGATGTTCGCCAGGCTAAAATGTCCAAAGTCTGAATTTTTTGTTGGAAATATTTTTGGAATGAAGTGTGTGTGTGCAGCCTTGTCAAGTGTATGAAGTTATCGACAAATGGGTTGAAGTACTGTCATACCCCAAGTTTAGAAAGCGATAATTACCTAAACCTGATCTACATAATATATCATTGCTTTGCTTTCAGGTGCTATCGATGACCAATTAACTGTCCCCATGGTCGTGACAAGATAACCAACGTCATTTGAAGGGCAATAAAATCTATAGTAATTGCTATCTATGAGCAAATTAAACACTCTAGATCTTCAAATCTTACTGTTTATTGTTGGTACTACTGACCGTTAACCGATGGGAACGTTTCAGGACTGTTAACTTCAAACCTCCGCCCGCTGGCTTTGTACAACAAAGTTTTGACCTGTATACAACCCTTAATGATGAGTTTAGTTCCTTACCTAATTATCTGCTGTTATGGCCCTGATTTTGCCATTACTACAACCCAGTTAGCCTCTCTCTCTCTCAGCGTAGCCTACCCTAGGTGCAGGGGACGACTTAGAATTTGCACAGCAGGGTCAGTTGTTTCAGTGCTTTTCATTGGTTAAAGACCTGCGCGGATAGGAGACCTTTAGAGTAGTCTTCTTTCTATGGATGTTTAAGAATGTTACAAAGTAACAGTTTATGCTGAATCTAGTAAACAGGTACTGCTATAGTAACACAATGTTTTAGTTTGGATTAATATTAAACAATAAACAATTGCAAGTTATAACTTTCGTTAATTTCAAAAAAATCATTTTGTGAAATAATTCGAGTTCATATGCCAACTTTTTAATGCAAAATGACATTTGATCTCTACTGGCTGAATCACAATAAGTTTTAGTTCTTGCAAGATTAATTAATACATCTAAGAAATTTGGACATGCCGCTGTATGGCCATTGCAACTTATACCTGCCGCAATTGAAAAAAACATAAGAAGTGGGAGTTATGGCGAGTATACCTGCTACACGTCAAGAAGTGGGAGTTCTGACGAGTCTACCTGATATACACCAAGAAGTGAGAGTCCTGTAAAGTATACCTGCTACACGTCAAGAAGTGGGAGTTCTGACGAGTCTACCCGATATACACCAAGAAGTGGAAGTTCTGTAAAGTCTACCTGATACGCATCAAGAAGTGGGAGTTCTGTAAAGTCTACCTGATATACACCAAGAAGTGGGAGTTCTGTAAAGTCTACCTGATATACACCAAGAAGTGGGAGTTCTGTAAAGTCTACCTGATAGACGTCAAGAAGTGGGAGTTATGAAGAGTTTACTTGATATACGTCAAGAAGTGGGAGTTCTAGAGAGTCTACCTGATACACACCAAGAAGTGGGAGTTCTGGAGAGTTTACTTGCTACACGGTAAAAACTGAAATTATTGGAGTTGATGAGTCTACCTAACATAAAGTAGTTGCTGTCACAGCAACAACAACTACATTGCTCTCAACTACACCACAGGAAGTGTACTTGTTAATGGGTCTGCAGGAATGTAAATGTTAATGAGTCTACTTATTGCACTACAGGAATGTAAATGTTAATGAGTCTTGCTGCTACACTACAAGAATGTAGATGTTAATGAGACTTGCTGCTACACCACAGGAAGTGTAAATGTTAATGAGTTTACTTACTGCACTACAGTAATGTAGATCTTAATGAGTCTACTTACTACAGGAAGTGTAGCTATTAATGAGTTTACCTGCTACACTACAGGAATGTAGATGTTAATGAGTCTACCTGCTACACTACAGGAATGTAGATGTTAATGAGTATTTTCTGCTACACCACAGGAAGTGTAGATGTTAATGAGTTTACTTGTTACACTAGAGGAATGTAGATGTTAATGAGTCTACCTGCTACACTACAGGAAGTGTTGATTTTAGTGAGACTACGTGCTACACTATAGGAAGTGTAGGTGCTGTTGCAGTGTGCTTGCTACACCAGAAAATGACTTTACTTTATACATTAGAGACATGTTAATTGTTCTGTTTCCATGGGCGCTGCGCTGTAGAAGCCACGGTATTTCTGACTTATTGATAAGTGGTTGCTGTTTGGCTTAGCGGTTGTACTATATATTGAGTCGTATACGTAGATTGTGTGATTAATTGATCTAAACGCATAATCACCCCACCTCGAAAAAAAAGGGTGTAGTTCTGTAATCAACGCACCTTACCAGGTGCAGGTGCTTGTAAACTTACGTATTGTTTAGTGAAACAAGTGTTTAATCCTGGAAACACCTCCTATACCACCCGAAATAATGCTTATAAGCCCAAACTAAATGTTACGAAATGTGTTTGGTACCCCTAAAGCCTTACAGTTAGATTGAGACGTGGATGCTTCTGATATCGCTCACTACAATTCAATAACACATGGCTTCTTGAAAAGGTTACAAGACAAGAAAGACAGGATTTTGCTAAGTTTCCACACTACAGTACAGAAGGTGTCAGGGCTTTGAAAGTTTCCTGTAACATTTTATAAAGTTTGGGTGCTTTTAAGTCTCCAGAATACGGTACAGAAGGTTTCAGTGTTTTTAAAATTTCCTGTTACTTTGTAAAGTTTTGGTGCTTCTAAGTCTCAAAACTACAATACAAAAGGTGTCAGTGCTTTGAGAGTTTCCTGCTACTTTGTAAAATTTGAGTGCTTCTAAGTATTCAGGCTACAACACAGAAGGTGTCAGTGCTTTTAAAGGTTTCTGTTACATTTTGAAAAGCTTGGGTGCTTCTAAGCCTCCAGATTATAAAACAAAAGGTATCAGTGCTTTTAAAGTTTCCTGTTACTTTGTAAAATTTGGGTGTCAGTGCTTTTAAAGGTTTCTGTTACACTTTGAAAAGCTTGGGTGCATCTAAGCCTCCAGATTATAAAACAAAAGGTATCAGTGCGTTTAAAGTTTCCTGTAACTTTGTAAAGTTTGGGTGCTTCTAAGTCTACAAACTACAATACAGAAGGTGTCGATGCTTTTAAAATTTCCTGTTACTTTGTAAAGTTTGGGTGCTTCTAAGTCTCCAGGCTACAATAGAGAAGGTGTCAGTGCTTTTAAGGCTACCTGGTACATTAAAAGAAAAAAAAAGTGCCTTCTTTTAAACTTTCGTATCATTGTATTAAAAGTGAGATGCTTTTAAGAATTTTTGGTACCCTGTTACATGCCTGGGTGTTGCTAGAACAGTCTCTAAAATGTGGGTGCTGTTATGGCCATTCAGAAAACTGAAATATGTGGGTGCTTGTTGACATCAGGTCAGGGTGCTTATGTGTCTACTCGCTCAACCTAAGGTAAACACTATTCAGGTGTTACCGCGAGGGAACGTATGTGAGTCACGGAAGTTACAGAGATGTACCAATCACAAGCGGGAGCAAAGGTTGCCTACTTGGTCGAGAGTAGGATGATGGTATTTGCTGTCCACCACGGTGTGACCTGGGCTGTGAAGATATGCTTTCCGCGACTGCGCAAAACTCTAACAACTTGAGTACACATACGCAATATCGAATATCGTATAAACGGTTTCAGAACAGAAATAAATTTAATGATAAAACGATGGCCCCTCAGTCTAATCATACAAGGCGATAGATATGTGTGTCTTGCTTGTGCGCGCTTTCTAGCTATAAGCTTAATAGAAAGCATGTGATGCCAAGTTACCATGCTTTCGTCACAACAGACACGATATAAAATTCTATGTGTGTAGGTGAAGTGTTAAGGTGGATTACCTGTCTATCTGATGAATATGCTGATACCGTTATTGAATAGAGAAACTTCGTGGTCTGGTGGTTGTTATCGAACACGATGGAAGCGGACCTCCCTTCTTCTTTTGACTGTCCTCTTGTTAACAGAAACAGCAAGTGGTTGCGGACCAGGACGGAGTGGCTACCGGCGCCGCGTAGATCATAGGCTGACGCCGCTTGTCTTCAAGCAACACATCCCTAATGTCTCTGAAAAAACCCTCACTGCCAGTGGACTCCCTGAAAAGAGTATCAGTCGCGATGATCCTCGTTTTAAAGACTTGGTGCCAAATTATAATCAAGATATTGTGTTCAAAGATGAAGAAGGTACAGGAGCAGACCGCCTGATGACCAGGGTAAGATCTCTTAGGAGTAACATAAGTTAAGATTGTTATATATGTGTACGTTGATATGCACCCTATTTTATATATATGTACGACAATATGTCCCCTATTATATATATATATATATATGTACGTTAATATGCACCCATTATATATATATATATGCTGTACGTTAATATGCATCAGCAGCATGTGATTATTTAAATAAATGTTATTGTCAAAAGAAATTTAGAAAACCTTCATCTATTAGCCTCTGCATTGTCTATATCCTCTATGCTTAACTGAGTCATTTTTAGGCTAGCTGTTATGCTAGTCTAAATCGGTAAAACTGTATCCATTAGTGTTTGTGCTTTCTGATAAGCTTCACTCATAATGTTCTGACTGCAATATAAACAACGCTTAATTTACGCCTAATCTATCCGGGTTTCAGATCCGGAAACTGTTTTCTTTCTGTTTTTTAACTTAAAGTAATTAATTTAAAGACTGCTTAGGTTTCACTGCGAACTGATATTTAACTGACTTAGTCATAATAACTACATCACTTAACTCCAAGCCTATCTCAAATGATAACTTCAATAACCTTTAAATTGTTACCTTATAAAACTCAAAATCCGCTCCCTACACCCAATAACAGTGATCTGGTAACTTTCCCTCCTACAAATTAAACACTGAATATATAGAGCTACGTGGATTTCAGTTCTTGACATTGCGATAACGTCCTCGCTATACGCAATTATTTCTCGAGGTAATCCAGTGAAATTAGTCTATAGAATATTAATAGTTTAAGGAAACACTTCAAACAGTAAACGTAACTACACTAGAAATAAGAAAGTAGGTAAGAAAACTGAGGAACTGATAGTATTTTTAGAAACTGTTTATGTTTTCATACCTCAGTGGTAGAAAACAGTTTTTGGCAAATAGGCCGAAACCAGAATAAGTAGTTCACTATTGGTAAGAATTTTAATGTTTTATTATGCCTATTTTTGTCTGGATTAACCATTCATGTTGTGTGTGTCTGGATTAACCATTCAAGTTGTGTGTGTCTTGATTTCCATTCATTGTTATATGTGTAGACTTTTAATTAGAAAAGAACACAAAACTTCCTAAATTTATAAACACCGTTTTTTAAGGAAATTTATTTATTCAAATGCTTTGAAAATGAACTGTTGAGAAATAACAAATATAAAAAAGATCCGCGAAAATTACTTGGTGCTATTATTCGTATGAAACACTTAATTGTTTTTGTTGCGTTGCAAATGTCAATGGCAAAAAGTTATTTTATCATACAATTGAAAACAACTTACAGCTCGAGAAGTGGCATTGCTGAATTCTACTGAATTAGTGTTAGTTTATTTAGTAATTTTTAGATTCTTATGAATCCTCATTTGCTTTCCAATTATTCAAGAAACACGCTTCAAAACGATATGTACCCTCAGCTAATTCTATTGTTATCTAGATGATAAAGGGAACACAATAGGCTTAATATCGATCACCAAAGTTATATATATTGGCAAAATAGTATTTATATGATTTAATAACTTATGTTGTATAATGTAATATAAAATGTTACAGCAAACAAAGGGAATTAATTGAGGTAACACATAAAGGAACGTTATTCTAATAAGACTTTATACAAACAGTGATATCTCATGGTATTAAGGACCGACATTCTTATCAAACTATACATATTTTACATTTCACAATAGGCATAAACTTAAACCAACGAGTAAACACGTCTAAAAATACATAAATAAGCACCAAGCCTGAACATATTATCAGAGTTATTATACTTAGCTGATATGTTATCAGCAACATGACATAATGTGTTACTATCGTTCTACGCTAAATCCGGATACCATATATAACCACGTTTTCTATATAACATTAATGAAAGACCTCTACTTAACTTATCATGTTTCTATACACGGAATGATCATAAATAACAAAGAGGGGTTAAAATATTGTTCATGTTTAATTTTCCATTCTTCTTTTTTTTATATATATAAAAACATTAAAAGATACATATCTACAAGTATTTACTCAGGTATCATCTCATCATTGAATGAAATCACTTCGAATGAAGTTTTGAACATGGTACTTTGTATATAAGAAGGTTTTGGCTTAGTCAAGTGTATGGTATGAAAGAATTGAAAACAACTGGTATAGGGTATGTTGAGGTATGCAAAAAAAAAAAATAATCCAGTATGCATGAAACATAAAATGTTTAGCTTATGTGAAGATATTATACCAAACAGGATATAATTTTATCCACTCGAGACTTTCGTTTCGTGTGAACAGAGAAATTGAGATTTATCAAAAATAACACTGGAAGAAATGAAAAACATTTGTCTTAGCTTTTGTCTTCCAAATAATTTTTATCCAAATGAAAAAAAGTAACAGTTGTTTAAAATTAAACTCTGGTCTGTATTTTTGTCGCAGTAATTTCTGTGACTCTGCTATGTTAAAGCATATCTGATAGTTGCTTCTATTTATGAAGATAATAATGAGCTATGTATATACATCATCATCTAATCGTTTTTAGGCTTTTTGTGACTCTGCTATGTTAAAGCATATCTGATAATTGCTTCTATTTATGAAGATAATAATGAGCTATGTGTACACATCATCATCTAATCGTTTTTAGGCTTTTTATTTTATTTTCAAGTTAAAATCAACGCACAGATCGATTCTTAGACCATTGAGTAATTGTAGTGTTCATAGCTATTGACAAGTGCAGAAAGTGAGATTCGAGTAAGAAGTGTTTATTACTAGCAACTTTTCTGTAGCAGACAAATATTACACTCAACTAACAGTCACATAGTTTTCAGTAAAATATATTACAGTCAATTGAAAGTGACGCAGCTTTCAGTAGCAGACTGATATTGCAATCAACTAACAGTCACGTTGTTTTCAGTAGCAAACAGCTAACAGTCACATTGTTTTTAGCAGCAGCCAGCTGAGAGTCACTTTGTTTTTGGTAAACAGATATTAAAACCAACGTACAGAATCCTGTAGCTTTCAGTAGACAGGTATAACAACCAACTGATAGAATCCTATAGTTTTAGTAGAGAAATATACAGTCAACTGACAATGTTGTGTACTCTTCAGTAGAAAGATATTACAGTCAGTGACAGAGTCACGTAGTTTTCAGTAGACACGTATTATACCCATCTAATAGAATCATGTTGTGAAGAACAGCATGCAACAAATATCCTTGCAGTTGATCGACAGAGACATTTTTTGTCAGTATACTGACAGAGTTATGCACGGATAAAAAACTGACAAAAGATGTTGTATTCTACCAGAAATATGTAACTGAGAACAATCAGCTAGTTTGATGACAGAGATATGTTTTGGAGGGAACTCAGCCACGATGTTCTGTGTTTGACCAGTACAGTATAGAAAATGCTATACATTTGAAAGCTCCATGCCAATAAGTAGAACTGCAGCTATACCAAATAACAAAGAATGTCATTTTAATAGGAAAGAAATATGCTGTTTCCTTATGAGTAGGATATACCTCTTGTCCCTTTCCAGTAAAATCAATACACTCGATGATGACAGGTACCTGATGATGACAAAACCTTGTCGAAACGTTGTACATTTGCTGTTATGTTAAACTTATATTAAAGTTCTTCTTCATTACCCATTCAAGCCGTCTTCAGCCATTATTAATACACTCGATGTTTACTTTGAATAGTGCCACACGTCTGTGCATTCGAAATACAATAAATAATTTTATTTATCTCTATTCTCTATGTCTAGAAGCTAATTAAGTGCCTTATCATATAACATGATAATAACAATGGAATCAATAAATCTCATGTTAACAGAAATAGGCCTAAAATCCAGAAATTGTCTGCTGTTCTAGCAGTTAGGAACTATGATTTTTACGTCTCTAAGAAATGCCTTAACAATAATCTTTCTTTCCAGTATGGTTATGAAAGGGCAGGCTTGTATTAACAAACACAGGTAACTTCCTTTACTTTCAACGATAAAAGAAAGTGTTATCGAACAATTCGTGATTGGAGCAAATAATTGAGACGCCTAACTAAGAAATATCAAATATTATTTTTTTACTATATTTCAGAAATTACTATACAACTTTTATATCAAAAGCAAAAAGGTGAAGTATTTTGCAAAACTTAGTAAGCCAAAATATATCTGAAAACTCTTCATGCACCTTCACCACCACATGTGACTTCATTACTACAAAATAAAAATAACAATGAAATATTTAAATTTTCCTTTAAATTTTTGAAGAAAAAGAAGACATGAAAGTATTTCACTCTTTTTCCACTGAAAAATATATAATTTTAATATACTTGTTTATAGAAAAATTGGACCGGACATAGCCTTTTGGTTGGTATACTCACACCGTGAATCAGAAGGTTTATGGTTTGTAGTCTCTTGTTCCCAAATGTGCACTCTCACTTGGGGATGTGCTATAAGAGTGACGGTCAGTACCTGATGATGACAAAATCTTGTCGAAACGCTGTACATTTGCTGTTATGTTAAACTTATATTAAAATTTTTCTTCATTACCCATTCAAGCCGTCTCCAGCCATTATGAGAGTAACTGAAGTGTATCCGGTGGCCGCTGTTGACTATGTGATTTATCAATTCAAAATTAGGAACGGTTTGTGTTCCTTTACGGGAAATTCCGGAAACAAAACAATCTATAGCAAATATTATTACGACTTTGTTCCCTTGACTCTGGCATAAGGTGGAAATATTAAAACTATAAAAATCTTCGACACGTCCACATCTAATTCGGTTTGAAATAAAGCTTCAGTTGGTTATTTGTAATTTGTAAGTTAAAACTGCATTTGACCAAAATTCTGCCAAATAATTTGGAATAGTCCAGCTTAACTCGTGTTTCATGTTTCTGTTAAATTCATGTGCGATGGCTTTGGTAAAATGAAAGGAAATGAAGGGAAGAACTGCGACTTTTCCTTAAGCAGAGCATTCTATCCTATTTTTTCATATATTTTTTTATCATGACCAAAGAT